TATAGTGGGAGTATGTTTCTACTGAGAAGTCACATGTTCCTGCAAAGCCAATCAACATCTCAGGCTCAAACAACTTAAACTATGATGTCTCATTCTAACAGGTGGTAAATGGCTGTTAGATGTTCTATGGATAATTTATCTTCAATGGTATTATCATAATAGAGGGAGGCGATGGCCTAGTGATATTATCACTGGAACATAAACCCAGATAATGTTCTGGGGACTCGGGTTCGAATCCCACCACAGCGGATGGTGGAATTTGAATTCAATAAAATATCTGGAATTAACAGTCTAATCATGACCATGAATCTATTGCCAATTGTCGCAAAAACCCATCTGGTTCACTAATGTCCTTTAGGGAAGGAAACTGTCATTCTTACCTGGTCTGGCCTACATGTGACTCCAGACCCACAGTAATGTGGTTGACTCTTAATTGCCCTTTGGACAATTAGGGATGGGCAATAATTGCTGCCTAGCCAGTGATGCCCTCGTCCAGTGAATGAATACAGAAAAGAAAAACATCAAGTTTCTCAAGTTATATGGTCCAAGTTAACGTCAATTCTTTTCATTTTGTAGGGCTACAATGGTAGACTGAGAGTAGAGTCGATCTTGCAGCTGCTCCTGAGATTCATGTTTATTTCTACATTTGATTCTAGATTTCTTATGGTTAGTACATAATAAGAAATACTTGGAGGATATGGGCCAAGTGCATACAGGTGAGACTGGTTTAGTTTGGGATTATGGTTGGACTCTATGGCTAAGTGTAAAGTGCCCCAGGTTTTGGGAGAATCTCCACTCCTAGCTTTAATCTTGATTCCCAAGTATTTCTCTGAGATAAAGGGATGGGATCATTTCTGATTTGGGTTTTGGTTGACTGTGAAGCAACTCATTGACTTCTGATGGGCTCTTTTTTTATTTTTACTGTTCATTCGTGCAATGTGGACATCACAGGTCAGGCCAGCATTAGTTGCCCATTGCTCACTGCCCTTGAGCAAGTGGTGATGAGCTGCCTTCTTGGGCTAACACAGTCCTTGGGTATAGGTGCAGCTGTAGTGCTGTCTAGAAGAGAGGTCTAGGAATTTAACCCAGCTACCCTGAAGGAATGGAGGTATATTTCCAAGTCAGGGTGGTGAGTGACTTGGAGAGGTACTTGCAGGTGGTGGTGTGCTTATCTATCTACTGCTCACATCTTTCCAGTTTGCAGAGGTTGTGGGTTCAGAAGGTGCTAACAATAGAGCATTGGACAGTTGCAAATGGTACAGTCTGCTACTATTGTATGATAGTGATGGAGGTAATCAATATTTACAGTGGTGAAGGGGGGACAGCAATCAAACAGCTGCCTTGCCTTGGATGGTGTGGAGCTTCTTGGTTGTTACTGGAACTACATCCATCCAGGCAAGCAATGAATATTCCACCACATTCCTGACTTGTGGCATGTAGATAGTGGATAGGCTTTGGCAATCAGGAGGTGAGTTACAGAACTCTCTGTCTGAACTGCTCTTGTAGCCACTGTTATTCATATGGCTAGTCCAGTAAGTTTCTGGTCAATGGAAACCCCAGGATGTTGATGGTAAGGAACTCACTTTATCTTTGAATATAAAAGCTAGATTATCTCTTGCTAGAAATAGTCATTGCCTGGCACTTGTGTGATGTGAAAGTCACTCTCCAGTTATCAGCCCAAGCCTGAATGTTATCCAGGTCTTGCTGCATTTGAACCTGGACTGTTACAGTGCATGAGACGTCACAAATGGTGCTGAACATTGTGCAACCATCAGTGAACATCCTGTTTCTGACCTTATGATGAAGGTTATTGATGTAACAGCTGAAGATGGTTGCGCCTCGGACACCATCCTGAGGAACTCCTGGAACTGAGAAGACTGACCTCCAACATCTGCAACCATCCTCATATGTTCCAGGTATGACTCCCAACCAGTGGAGTTATTCCCTCCCAACCTCAATTCCTATTGACCCCAGTTTTGCTCGAGCTCCTCTCTGTGAAGGTTTGACCTAAGGTTTTGGAGTGGATCTGTAGCTCGGGTTGTGGGTGTTAAGGATGGTTGGCTCGCCGAGCTGGTTTGTTGTTCCGCAGATGTTTCGTTACCGTGCTTGGTAACATCCTCAGTGCAGCCTCTGATGAAGCGTCAGTGTGTTTTCCTGCCTGGTTTTTAAACTCTGGGGTCCATTGCGATGGATTGCCTCACTTCCAGGTTTCCTCCGTAGTGGAATGTATATGGGGTCGAGTTCAATGTGTTTATTAATAGCATGCTTCGTGGAGTGCCATGCTTCCAGGAATTCTCGTGCTTGTCTCTGCCTAGCCTGTCCCAGGATCTTGGTGTTGTCCCAGTCGAAGTCGTGGTTCTCCTTGTCCATGTGGATTGAGATGAGTGAGTATTGGTCGTGTCTTTTTGTAGCCAGTTGGTGTTCATGTACTCTTGTTGTTAGTTTCCTTCCTGTTTGTCCGATGTAGTGTTTCTCGCAGTCTCTGCAGGGGATCTTGTAGATGACATTGGTCCTGTCCATGGCGGGGAGTGGGTCTTTAGTTCGGGTGAGCACTTGTTGTAGGGTTGATGTGGGCTTGTGTGCCACTCTGCCCAGTGGTCATAGAAGTCTTGTGGTGAGTTCTGACGTGCTCCTGATATAGGGTAGTGTGATGAGTGTGTCGGGGCGTGTAGAATCTTTCTGATGCTGTTCCTGTAGGCATCGCCTGACCCAGTTCTTTGGATATCCATTATCCTTGAACACTTGGAAGAGGTATTCCTCCTCCTCTTGGCGTAGTTCCGTGTTGCTGGAGTGTATTGTTGCCCTTTTAAATAGTGTTTGCACGCAGCTTCGTTTGTGTGCGCTGGGATGGTTAGTATTGAAGTTCAATACCTGGTCTGTGTGTGTGGCTTTTCGGTGTACTTTCATTTGCAGTTCCCCATTTGTCTTGCGCTCTACCATGACGTCCAGGAATGGGAGTTGTTTGTTCTTCTCCTCCTCTCTGGTGAATTTTATTCCGGTGAGGGTGTTGTTTATGAGTTTGTGTGTCTCTTCTAATTTGGCATGGCACTCCACGAAGCATGCTATTAATAAACACATTGAACTCGACCCCATATACATTCCACTACGGAGGAAACCTGAAAGTGAGGCAATCCATCGCAACAGACCCCAGAGTTTAAAAACCAGGCAGGAAAACACACCGACGCTTCATCAGAGGCTGCACTGAGGATGTTACCAAACAAGGTAACGAAACGTCTGCGGAACAACAAACCAGCTCGGCGAGCCAACCAACCTCAACAAGATTTGACCTATTGTGAAGATATTTTTAATGAATCTGTTCAGAGATGTTATGACACATCTCTGGAACAGGACAGACTTGAACCCGGGTCTTCTGGCTCAAAGGTAGGGACACTACCACTGCACCACGAGAACCCTCACTTGCTAGGACTCCCTGATGCCACATTTAGTCAAATGTAGTCTTTTATGCCAAGAGCAGTGACCCTTGATTTTAGCTCTTTTGTCTAAGTTTTTAATTCATTTTCGGAAAGCCATACTGTCCCTGCAGGTCAGCTAGCATGCTGCAAAGGTGAGAAATAGAAAAGATAAAGGCTGTACCTTATGGAGGAAGTCCATCAGCACCCTGTTGAACCTGGTCACCAGCTGATCAAACAGTTGATGCTTTGCAGAATCTACTTGGTCCTGAGTAGCCCATTCTTCATTACTGAGGACAAGGTATGTCTTCGAACAGAATTCCAAGACTTCGGAATCCGTCTGTTCCTCCACAATTTCCCTTAACTGCTTCAGTAAGGTATCCAAATGCTGTGAATTCCCAAAGAAAAATCAGCGTCTGGAAGATCAGCAAAATCCGACTACCAAAACATTCCCAAGTGTCCTCTTTAGGAAACAGGCCTCAGAATTTGCAGCCAAAAGGAATGGTGAATCTAATAGCCCTCATTACTTATGAAACACGTAAATAAACCCAGCAACCTCTACAAAGGAAGGTATGCCCCGTTAATTATAACTTGTCACAATTTGCCAAAGAATGTGTGGCACTCCAGCATTAGCCTCACCCAAAAACAACAGCTTGCCCTCAACCTCTAGGCAAAGTTCATGAAATTGCTGGAACTACACACCAGTTACCAGTTAAAGCCACCATTGAAAGCCAGCTCCAGTACTTCTCACAGAAAGTACCTTTTAAAATGAGATTTTATGTTCCTGCAAAACCATTGAATTTCTCAACCCCAGAAAGGGAACAATTTAAACTATGGAGCTCATTCCTGTAGGAAATAAAATGTTGCTGGAGATGCTTAAATGTTTAAACAATAAATTCTGCTTCTAAATTTATATTATTATTCTGTATCATTGAAGAGAATTGTCTAATTTTAGGAACACCTTCTTTTCACTTATATTACCACAACATGAAAAGTGCATTCATATATAGTCATCCAGTTTCCTTTCAAGTGACAGGAAAACTTTAAAAGATATTTGCCAACTTCATATGTTACATTGTATTGGTTAATGTTAAATTAAGTATGATTTTAACATAGTGACTGATCATGAGGCTGTATCCTTAAAATGTAACTGGCCAGCAAACTGATGACCATTGTGTAAATGAAGTTAACTAACAGCCTCCACAATAAGCATACAACTCTGAACTCTACAGTTCTTCCTCACAATCCCTTGGACCTTTTAACCAAGTTTTTATACCCACCCAAGACAATATAGCTTCCTTTTTCATCTTCACATCTCCAACAGCTTTCAGCTTTGATGCATATTTTACATCTACCTTATTGTTGGGTGAAAATTCATCTTGTTTTTTAACTGATGGATGTTTAGTTGCTATTTAAACGTTATTAGTGAAGAGTGTATCGTACAGGAGAGTTTAAAGGTCCTGGGGGGAAAAAAGAGAATTTGGGCAGTGCATAATGAGTCTTGATCTCAACATGGTGAAGATGCAAGGAAAAAACACTACATAGAAACAGAGAGAATAAGAGCAGGAGTAGACTATTCAATCCTTCCTGCCTGCTCCATTATTCAATATGATCATCCAACTCAGTACTGTGTTCCCACTTTCATCCAGTACCCTTTGATTCCTTTAGCCCTAAGAATTGTATCAAACTCCTTCTTGAAAATATTCAATGCTTTGACTTCAACCACTTTCTGTGGCAGAGAATTCCAAAGGCTCACCACACTCTGGGTGAAGAAATTTCTCCTCATCGCAGTCCTAACTGGCCTACCCCAAATCCAGGACCCCTGGTTCTGGACTCCCTGGTCATTGGGACCATTCGATAACGTACATGGGAATTGGACAGTGCACTTATAATGTACGAGGAAAAGGGAGAATGAGAGGAGTACAGATGAAAACAGAATTGATAAAGTCAACAAAGATAATGACAGAGTGACACTGGAGGCCAGAGGTGAGAGAAATATTATTTACCAGGACTTTGGTGTGACAAGTGTCTATGTGATTTGATGTATGCATAAAAAAGTGGGTGACGGGATGGAATGAGGATGGTAAGGGAGGAGATGGGCGTTCTAAATGAGACAGCAAGGTATCACGTCAACAGGAGACGGCTGAAGACAGCTGTAAAGAAGATTGCTGTTCAGATAATTCATTGTCATTGACAAGGTGAGAGGTTTATTTGAACTCTGAGAAATCAATGTATCAAAAGAGATTTGAGTTACAGGGAGCAGGAAGCTGGAAGGTTGAACTGAATGGATGGGAAAGCTGAAAACCTTCATGAAACCTTTGGTTCCTTTCACTAACCCTTGACATAAAGAATGCCAAGTCTTTCCAGGTTGAATACAGCTTCCAGAATGGGGTCTGCTGGACTGTACAGCAGCAAAATGTATCACTGGATAGACAATCACTTAACTCGCCATCAATGCCTTTCCTGTCTCTGCCTACTTTATCGATGTTACTGATTTACTATCTCGCTCTTACTCCTCTTATATGCATCTCCCTATAAAGATTCCACTCAACACCTCCTTCGTCCTCGTCCCATTATTGCCATGCCATCTCCTGCCCCAAGTTATGAACAACCATTTCCTGTTTCTTTAACTTCTCTTCACATTTTTGCAACTTTTGTTTTAGTCACTTCAGATGTCCCTTTGACTGCACACACATTTACTCCTTTGTCGCGTTACTTATCAGCAATAAGGTAATTATGTCGGCTGGCTCACCTTTTCTAGCTGTGCGGTTCCGTAACCCTCCAGGTCAAAGAACTGAGGTATTTGCAGAAGGTTGACTGTAATGACTTTCTCTCTATCAGCAGAATACTGTGAAATTTAACAAAAAAACAGAATACTGTGGAATTAACTAAATCTAATTCTCTTCCAGTTGCACAACAGACCCAATCTTAAATAGGTCCAAGGGTCTTAGGTACCACTTTCCTCTTCACTTCAATCCAAGTTGCTTTCTCCTCTTCTCCTGAGGACATCAGGTTTGAGGTTCCTCAGAGGAAGCAGCTGACCATATTTGGTTTTAATTCTCTGATGAGATATGGTCATCACTGGCAAGGTCAGCTTTTGATAACTATCCTTAACTGCCCTTGACTTGTGACTCACTGTGCCGTTTCGAAGGACAGTTAACAGTCAACCACATTGCTGCAGCTCTGGAGTTGCATGTAGGCCAGACCAGGTAAGGATGGCCGATTTCCTTCGCTAATTAGTGAACCAGATGGGGTTTTGGGATAATTGATGAGAGTCTGGTGGCACCATACCTGAATTTTAAATTCAAAACTTTTAATCAATTAGATTCAAATTCCACCAGCTGCCTGTGCCTCTGGGTTATTAACCCAGTGACACAATCATCTCCCTCTCTCTGAAAGAGACTACAGACATGGCTTATGCACACTTAAGGAGCGTGACAACCCAAGCAGGACCTCGCTCCTATATTTCAGGATGGGAACAGGACTTTAGGCCTTAGAGATCCCAGACTGCACTCCTGGCACCAACATCAGGAGTCCTGGTTGTTGCCAGAAAGCAGAACAGCAAAAACTTACATCTATATAATAACATCAGTAAAATGTGGCAAGGTGTTTCACAGGAAAACAAAACATGACACTGAGCCCCACGAGATCAGGTGAGCAAAAACTTACCAAAGAGGTAAGTTTTCAGGAATTTCTTAAAGGAGGAAAGTTAGGCAGAGAGGTCAGGATAGTGGGAGAGAATTCCAGAGCTTGGCACCTCATCAACTGAAGATATGATCACCATTTACAGTTGGAGACACTCGGGAGGCAAGAATTGGATGAGCACAGGGACCTTGGAGAGTTGTGCTGTTCGTAGGGAGGGACAAAGCCACAGGTGGATTTGAAAAAAAAAGGAATGAAAATTTTAAAATCTAAACCTTACTTGGCTAGAAACCAGTGTAGGACAGCGAGCACAGAAGACTATGGGCTTTTACATTGTCCAGGGGTGGTGCAGAGAGAAACAAAACATTTCAAGACATGCCTTAAAATCATCAAATTTGCTGAGAGATCCCTGCAGACCTTTCAAGAAAGAGGCCGTCATGTTAAATTTGTTCAGGCTGTACCAGGTAACATAATGGCTAAATTGATCAGTGAGTGAAGCCAAAAATTCTGTTTCTAGCTTATCATGAAAATACTTAACACTGTAGCACAACAGATGTGTGCCCTGTGACATTCAACGAGAAATTCCCAGAAAATCTTGGGGCAACAAGGGGATGAGTAAGAGGGCGCAATCACCTGAAATAAGTAGTCTCACTCTCTTGCCCTCGACATTGAAGAATTTTCCCTAGAGCAGGACTTCAAAAACCTGTCCCATTGACCCACACTGGACTTCGATGATATAGAAGGCAGTTATCCCTCTTCACCATTAATGCCTGCACACAGTTTTCTCTCCATGCCAGTCTAGCTACAGTTGGCATCGGAAGCTCTTTTATTGTGAAAACAAACATCCTGTCCTCATTAAATGTCCCTACATGTTTTGCAGGCAGTATTTCATTGTTATCATTTGCAATGAGCTACCAGAATGGGTTTTGCAAGCAGATTCAACTGTCGCTTTGACAAGGAATTTGGCTACATAGTTGAAAGGAAAAATCAAAAGGGCTGTGGAGAAAAGAAAATCGGGAGCGGAGTGTGGTGGATAATGAACTGAATTGGAGACCTGTATCCAAGAACAAAAACAGAAGTTGCTGGAAATGCTCAGCAGGTCTGGCAGCATCTGTGAAGAAAACAATCAGAGTTAACGTTTTTCGGGTCCAGTGACCCTTCCTCAGGACTCAGTTAGCGTTGGAAGCTTTTTTTATTGTGAAAACAAACATCCTGTCCTCACTGAATGTCCAATTCTGAGGAAGGGTCACCATACCCAAAACGTTAACTTTGATTTTTACTTCACAGATGGTGCCACGCCTGCTGAGTTTTTTCAGCAACTTCCATTTTTGTTCCTGATTTGCAGCATCCACAGTTCTTTCGGTTTTTACCTGGACCCGAGAGCTGGCATAAACATGATGGTGGGAGAAGCATCTGTCTGTAGTGTCAGATTACAGATCAGAGCTCAGGTTAATCAGCCAATCCATTGTCTAGAGATGTAATGTTACAGCTCAGCTGTAATACTCAACATAGACTGGGAATCGAGCATGAAACACTCTGAGTTCTGTGGCTCATGAACACCTTTATCAAGTCGGTCAACTGTAAGGAAATACAATTGGACAAACCAGGAGGCACACTACAGCATAGAGGGATACACGTACCTTAGCTAAGAGCTGTGGAAGTACAACAAAGAAATGTTCAGTGAGCTTGGCCCGATCGTCAATCTGTGATTTTCTCTCTTTCGTCATTTGAACCTAGAAGAAAATCCCCAGCAAAAGACAGATAAATCCACACTGTAAGTCTAGGCGTGCCAGACAGAGCCATCTTTAACATATATAGATATTCACCCACCAGTACTTATTCTGCAACGTTGATACAAGATTAATGTCAAAGCATTACCTCATTAACCATAAGTTGCTGGAACAGCTCAGCAGGTCTGGCAGCATCTGTGAAGAAAAAAATCAGAGTTAA